GACAATGCGGCGCAGCATGCCGCCAATGCACAGTGGGACCCGCTTGGTGAGGTCAGTCCCTGTGCTTCAACCTTAGCGTTGGAGAGCTGTGCAGTGATGCGCCCAGTCTGGCCAAAGGCAACTCACGCTTTGTCGCATCATGGACCTGCAGAGATGACTCCTCCTGAGTAGGTGTACCTTCCAGTCTCCCCACACCCAGGCTGGTATTTAATTTTAGTGCGGACACGCAGCTCGCGCAGGCCGTTACGCATGGTACGCTGAAGCCTCCCTTGCAGCTGGTCTTTTCAGGAGGCTTTACTGACTTTTCAGAATCTCACCTCCTTTGAGTTCATGCACACTCACGCCCCGCATTCTTCAGACTGGATTGTGGTGGCTACATGTTTGATGAGTCGCTTGGGCTGACCGTTCTCGCTGAAAATGACTGTGAAGAATATGAGGATGGCCAGAAGCAATTTCTCGCTCAGTTTGTGGCTGCCAAACCTCGTTGTGGTGGCCTCCCGAACACCAAAGCGCACTTCGACTGTGGAAAGCTTCGCGAGACAATGCGGCGCAGCATGCCGCCAATGCACAGTGGGACCCGCTTGGTGAGGTCAGTCCCTGTGCTTCAACCTTAGCGTTGGAGAGCTGTGCAGTGATGCGCCCAGTCTGGCCAAAGGCAACTCACGCTTTGTCGCATCATGGACCTGCAGAGATGACTCCTCCTGAGTAGGTGTACCTTCCAGTCTCCCCACACCCAGGCTGGTATTTAATTTTAGTGCGGACACGCAGCTCGCGCAGGCCGTCAGGCATGGTACGCAAAGACTCCCTTGCAGCTGGTCTTTTCAGGAGGTTTTATTTTTCAGAACTCCAGCCTTCCCGGGGCCCTGTTGCACTGTGAGCCTCCGCGGTCTCAAAAATCGGGCCTGCCGAGAGCTCAAAGTCAAACTCCTCGCTGAGGGGCAAGGTGTCCTTGTGCAAGGTGTGTGATTCGGGCCACTGCACCGAACTCGTAGACGGTCGTATTTTGAAGACGTATTGTCAGCGCTGAACCGCGCAGTTCGCGTGCCTGAGTCAGCACGGCTGTGACCTGAGCATTTAGTGACCAGCAATCACGGCGCACAACTGCTGGCTGCAGCGCTGTGGGTAGCTTGCAAGGCCCCAGTCCATAGCCCGTCGACCGTGATATCAGGTAGGCAGGAGCTCACCCATGCTGGATGTGACATGAGGTCAGCTCCGCCCTATGTCGCTTTTTCCCAGATACTGTGCATGTTGTTTGGGGCAAGGGGCCCTGCTGCACTGCGAGCCTCCGCGGTCTCAAAATCGGGCCTGCCGAGAGCTCAAAGTCAAACTCCTCGCTGAGGGGCAAGGTGTCGTTGTGCAAGGTGTGTGATTCGGGCCACTGCACCGAACTCGTAGACGGTCGTATTTTGAAGACGTATTGTCAGCGCTGGACCGCGCAGTTCTCGTAGTGGACATGTACGAGCTTTTGCGCCTGGCTGCAAGGCTTTGACCGCTCGCATGATGCTGAGTTCCGGAAGCCCTTTGGTCATTCGCGGATAGGCAGTGATGTCAAGATCCTAGCTTGACCTGCAATGTGCGACGTTTCCCTGAAAAGACCTGAAAAGAGCAAGTGGCCTTGGGTGAGTCGGGTTACAACCCCGTTTCTTGCAAGACAATCACGGGTCCTGGAAGGGACAAAACAAAAAGCAATCTTTCAGCTTGACAGGTGACATTTTAGGCAAAGCCACAAGCTCCAAGTCAAAGCTGCGCGCTGCTGGGCAGACGATTGGGTAGTGCAGACTTGTTCGTCAACTCTGGATCATGCTTAATCCATGTGGCTTTTGCACCTGGCTGCAAATAAGCTTTGACCGCTCCCACGATGCTGAGACCGGTAGCCCTTTGGTTTTTCGTGGATGGGCAGTGACGTCAAGGTCCCAGCTTGACCTGCAATGTGCGACGTTTCCCTGAAAAGACCTGAAAAGAGCAAGTGGCCTTGGGTGAGTCGGGTTACAACGCCGTTTCTTGCAAGACAATCACGGGTCCTGGAAGGGACAAAACCAAAGCAATCTTTCAGCTCGACAGTTGACATTTTAGGCAACGCCAAAAGGTCAAGGTCAAAGCTGCTCTCGGCCAGGCAGGAGATCCGATAGTGGACATGTACGAGCTTTTGCGCCTGGCTGCAAATAGGCTTTGACCGCTCCCATGATGCTGAGTTCCGGAAGCCCTTTGGTCATTCGCGGATAGGCAGTGATGTCAAGATCCTAGCTTGACCTGCAATGTGCGACGTTTCCCTGAAAAGACCTGAAAAGAGCAAGTGGCCTTGGGTGAGTCGGGTTACAACCCCGTTTCTTGCAAGACAATCACGGGTCCTGGAAGGGACAAAACCAAAGCAATCTTTCAGCTTGACAGATGACATTTTAGGCAAAGCCACAAGCTCCAAGCCAAAGCTGTGCGCTGCTGGGCAGACGATTGGGTAGTGCAGACTTGTTCGTCAACTCTGGATCATGCTTAATCCATGTGGCTTAGGCACCTGGCTGCAAATAAGCTTTGACCGCTCCCATGAGCTGAGACCGGTAGCCCTTTGGTTTTTTGTGGATGGGCAGTGACGTCAAGATCCTAGCTTGACCTGCAATGTGCGACGTTTCCCTAAAAAGACCTGAAAAGAGCAAGTGGCCTTGGGTGAGTCGGGTTACAGCCCCGTTTCTTGCAAGACAATCACGGGTCCTGGAAGGGACAAAACCAAAGCAATCTTTCAGCTTGACAGATGACATTTTAGGCAAAGCCACAAGCTCCAAGCCAAAGCTGCGCGCTGCTGGGCAGACGATTGGGTAGTGCAGACTTGTTCGTCAACTCTGGATCATGCTTAATCCATGTGGCTTAGGCACCTGGCTGCAAATAAGCTTTGACCGCTCCCATGAGCTGAGACCGGTAGCCCTTTGGTTTTTCGTGGATAGGCAGTGATGTCAAGGCCCGAGTAGCTCCCACTGGCTGAGAAAGGGCTTCAAAAGAATGTGAAGAATGTGCAATGCAAGTTGCGGCAACTTGTTGAAAAGACCAAAGGCAGCCTATTTCCTGCGGTGTACTGAGTACAGCCAGGAACCGTGCTTGGAGCCGCATAGGAAGCCCAAGATTCTGCAACGCAGTCCGGCAAGCTTGGCAGGTGAAGCATTCCACCTGAGGTTGTGAGCTGGGACCTTGGCGGCCTTCTGGTTCAAAGCCGAATCTTATTTTGCGGACTCTTCCTGGATCGTTCCGGTGGCGCCAGACTGGACTTTCCGCTGGCCTGTATGGGAACTCCGCGTGTTTCCGCTTAATTGGCGTTGTTTCTTTCCAGCCACGGCAGCTGGCAAGTTGACGCCATTTCGATGTTGAAGGGCCCTTCCACCATGGTAGTGGCAGAGGGGCAGTGATATCAAGGTCCCAGCTTGAGCTGCAATGTGCGACGTTTCTCGGAAGAGATGTGAACACAGGAAGTGCGCTTTTCAACACCCTCTCTTGGTGGCCTTCTGGTTCAAAGCCGACGCTTGTTTTGCGGAATCTTCCTGGATCGTTCCGGTGGCGCCAGACTGAACTTTCCGCTGGCCTGTATGGGAACTCACCGTGTTTCCGCGTAATTCGTGTAGTTTCTTTCCAGCCACGTCAGCTGGCAAGTTGACCATTTCGATGTTGAAGGGCCCTTCCGCCATGGTAGTTGCTTCATGCATCACTCGATTGCCATGATGCTGACCAAATGGCAGGTCTTGGCTTTTTGGCAGAGGGGCAGTGATGTCAAGGTCCCAGCTTGAGCTGCAATGTGCGACGTTTGCCGGAAGAGACGTGAACACAGGAAGTGCGCTTTTCAACACCCTCTCTTGGTGGCCTTCTGGTTCAAAGCCGCCGCTGGTTTTGCGGAATCTTCCTAGATCGTTCCGGTGGCGCCAGACCGAACTTTCCGCTGGCCTGTATGGGAACTCACCGTGTTTCCGCTCAATTGGCGCAGTGTCTTTCCAGCCACGTCAGCTGGCAAGTTGACCATTTCGATGTTGAAGGGCCCTTCCGCCATGGTAGTTGCTTCATGCATCACTCGATTTGCCATGATGCTGACCAAATGGCAGGTCTTGGCTTTTTGGCAAAGGGGCAGTGATGTCAAGGTCCCAGCTTGAGCTGCAATGTGCGACGTTTGCCGGAAGAGACGTGAACTCACTGGATTTCAGGCAAAGCCACAAGGTCAAAGTCAAAGCTGCTCGCTGCGGGCGGACCGACGGGCTAAACCAGTACAAGCTTCCAAAGAATGTGCAATGCAAGTTGCGGCAACTTGTTGAATCCAGGCCCAAAGACCAAAGGCAGCTTCCGGGAACCGTGCTTGGAGCCGCATGGGAAGCCCAAGAGGCTGCAACGCAGTCCGGCAAGCTTGGCAGGTGAAGCATTCCACCTGAGGTTGTGAGCTGGGACCTTTCCTCTCTTGGTGGCCTTCTGGTTCAAAGCCGAATCTTGTTTTGCGGAATCTTCCTGGATCGTTCCGGTGGCGCCAGACTGGACTTTCCGCTGGCCTGTATGGGAACTCAGCGTGTTTCCGCTTAATTGGCGTTGTTTCTTTCCAGCCACGGCAGCTGGCAAGTTGACGCAGTTGCTTCATGATGCTGACCAAATGGCAGGTCTTGGCTTTTTGGCAGAGGGGCAGTGATGTCAAGGTCCCAGCTTGAGCTGCAATGTGCGACGTTTCTCGGAAGAGATGTGAACACAGGAAGTGCGCTTTTCAACACCCTCTCTTGGTGGCCTTCTGGTTCAAAGCCGACGCTGGTTTTGCGGAATCTTCCTGGATCATTCAGGTGGCGCTGGACTGGACCTTCCGCTGGCCTGTATGGGAACTCACCGCGTTTCCTCTCAATTGGCGCAGTTTCTTTCCAGCCACGTCAGCTGGCAAGTTTACGCCATTTCGATGTTGAAGGGCCCTTCCGCCATGGTAGTTGCTTCATGCGTCACTCGATTTGCCATGATGCTGACCAAATGGCAGGTCTTGGCTTGTTGGCAAAGGGGCAGTGATGTCAAGGTCCCAGCTTGAGCTGCAATGTGCGACGTTTGCCGGAAGAGACGTGAACACAGGAAGTGCGCTTTTCAACACCCTCTCTTGGTGGCCTTCTGGTTCAAAGTTGACCTGCAATGTGTGGCCTTTGGTTAGTCGGGTTACAGCCCCGCTTGTTGCCAGACAATCACTGGTCCGGGAAGGGACAAAACCAAAGCAATCTTTCAGCTTGATAGTCGACATTTCAGGCAAAGCCACAAGGTCAAAGTCAAAGCTGCTCGCTGCGGGGCAGATCGACGGGCTAAACCAGTACAAGCTTCCAAAGAATGTGCAATGCAAGTTGCGGCAACTTGTTGAATCCAGGCCCAAAGACCAAAGGCAGCTTCCGGGAACCGTGCTTGGACCCGCATGGGAAGCCCAAGAGGCTGCAACGCAGTCCGGCAAGCTTGGCAGGTGAAGCATTCCACCTGAGGTTGTAAGCTGGGACCTTTCCTCTCTTGGTGGCCTTCTGGTTCAAAGCCGAATCTTGTTTTGCGGAATCTTCCTGGATCGTTCCGGTGGCGCCAGACTTGACTTTCCGCTGGCCTGTATGGGAACTCAGCGTGTTTCCGCTTAATTGGCGTAGTTTCTTTCCAGCCACGGCAGCTGGCAAGTTGACGCAGTTGCATCATGATGCTGACCAAATGGCAGGTCTTGGCTTTTTGGCAGAGGGGCAGTGATGTCAAGGTCCCAGCTTGAGCTGCAATGTGCGACGTTTCTCGGAAGAGATGTGAACACAGGAAGTGCGCTTTTCAACACCCTCTCTTGGTGGCCTTCTGGTTCAAAGCCGACGCTGGTTTTGGGGAATCTTCCTAGATCGTTCTGGTGGCGCCAGACTGGGGAACTCACTGTGTTTCCTCTCAATTGGTGCAGTTTCTTTCCAGCCACGGCAGCTGGCAAGTTTTGCTAGGTGCCCAGTCCCGTGATGCGGGGCAGCGATGTCAAAGTCCCAGCTTGACCTGCAAAGAGGGAGGTTTCAGGAAGAGCAGTGAACCGAGGAAGTGGCCTTTGATTAGTTGGGTTGCAACCCCAATGCCTGGTCCGGGAAGACAAAACCAAAGCAACCTTTCAGCTTGACCGTCGACATCTTAGGCAAAGCCACAAGGTCAAGCTCAGTCCGCGTCAAAGCTCATCTCTACCAACCGTTTAGGCTTTTCCTGCACAGCTTCAGACCGACGGGCTAAAGCAGTACAAGCTTTTGCGCCCGGCTGCCAAAAGGGTCCAACGGCAAGTCTTTGGTCACCGGTGATGTCAAGGTCGCAGCTTGACTTGCAATGTGTCGACGTTTCCTGGAGGAGACGTGAAACGAGGAAGTCGCCTTTGGTCAGTTGGGCTGCAATGAGTCCTGGAAGGGATAAAACCAAAGCAACCTTTCAGCTTGACCGTCGACATCTTAGGCAAAGCCACAAGGTCAAGGTCAAAGCTGCTCGCTGCAGGGCAGAAGATGGGATAGTGCAGACTTGTTTGTCCACGCTAGATCATGCTGAACCCATGTCAGTCCGCGTCAAAGCTCATCTCTACCAACCGTTTGGGCTTTTCCTGCACAGCTTCAGACCGACGGGCTAAAGCAGTACAAGCTTTTGCGCCCGGCTGCCAAAAGGGTGTGACCGCTTCCATGATGCTGACCAACGGCAAGTCTTTGGTCACCGTTGATGGCACGGTCACAGCTTGACTTGCAATGTGTCGACGTTTCCTGGAGGAGACGTGAAACGAGGAAGTCGCCTTTGGTCAGTTGGGCTACAACGAGTCCTGGAAGGGACAAAACCAACGTGGAACCCGGAACGGCCACTTTGTTTTCGGTCAAAAGGCGTATTTGGCCTGTTTTTGCCCGTAAGGTTGTTTTTTTTCGGTCATTTGCCTGATTTGCCCGTATTTGGCCGTATAAAACCCGTATTTTATCGATAAAATATTGAAAACAAACCGAAGAAAAACGTATTTGGCGGCCGTATGACCATGTTTTTTGGGCAAAGCCTTTTGACAAAAAAAAACAGCATTTTGGGGCTCCAGGAAAGCAAGCTTTCAGCTCGACAGTTGACATTTCAAGCAAAGCCAGGAGGTCAAAGTCAAATCAGCTCGCTGCGGGGCAGAAGATCGGGTAGGGCAGACTTGTTTGTCCACGCTGGATCATGCTTAACCCATGTCAGTCCGCGTCAAAGCTCATCTCTACCAACCGTTTGGGCTTTTCCTGCACAGCTTCAGACCGACGGGCTAAAGCAGTACAAGCTTTTGAAAAGGGTGTGACCGCTTCCATGATGCTGACCAACGGCAAGTCTTTGGTCACCGGTGATGTCAAGGCCACAGCTTGACTTGCAATGTGTCGACGTTTCCTGGAGGAGACGTGGTCAGTTGGGCTGCAATGAGTCGTGGAAGGGACAAAACCAAAGCAAGCTTTCAGCTCGACAGTTGACATTTCAGGCAAAGACACAAAGGTCAAAGTCAAAGCTGCTTGCTGCGGGGCAGACGATCGGGTAGTGCAGACT